CAACCCAGCGCTCTGGAGCATATGCACGAGCTGCGCCCGCAGGCCATCGAGACCGCCCTCAATACCACCAACCCACTTGACGCCATCAACATCAAACACATCGCCCTCGACTCGTCCACCGACAAGCAGCAGCTTCTGCAGTGCGCTCTGGCACAGGGGCTCGTAGTACCCCGGGTTCTTCTTCCTCGGCGGCGCCGCAAACTTGCCCGGGCTCGGCGCCAGAATCTTGAGCGCGGCCGCGAGGTGCGCGGGCGAGACGGCGGGGAAGACCAGCGCCGCCGTAGGACCGCATAGCAGCGGCGAGATCTGCGCGTAGGCCGAGTCCTCGGGGACCTCGAAATCCTTCATCGCCTCGTAGGCGGCCATACTCAGATCGTGTACCAAGGGCCCGCGGGGTCCCGTCCGCGTGCCGGCCTTGGCCTTGGCGACCTCGGGGTCGTAGAACTCGGCCAGCTTGAGCGCGACGTTGAACATGCGCGTGCGCAGGACCTGGAGGTGGACCTCACGGCCATCGAGGGGGCTGTTGGTGCCCGCGGGCGTGGCAGCGATGAGGGCGCTGTTGAGCTCGCGGCGGACGGCGGACCATTCGTCTGCCGTCAGGTTGCTGTGCTGGAAGAAGAGGATCAGGGGCGTCGTGCGGAGGAGGGAGGTGTAGGTCCTGATGAGCTGGGACTTGCGGGTTTCGGGGGGGCGGGCGGAGGGAGGCTTCGTTGCGGGAACGTAGTCGGCGGGGAGACGGAGGCTTGCGGCGGCCGGGGCGGCGAGGAAGGAGGTCGTGGTGGTGAAGGATCGTGTGATTGGGGTTGAAGTCGTCGCCAGCCTGCGCAGGGCGCGCGCGGCCTGTTGTGGTAACCTTGGTGGCATCCTGGGGGAGCTCGTTAGCATCGATCCAAATGGCAAGTCTGCAATGCTCGTCTGAGGGGTTATGTACGTGTCTGGAGAGCAGGAGATGTCTGTCCTGTCGGCGTGATGGGGGTGCACCTGGTGATGGGAAAAAGTTGCTGGAGCTCCCGAGCTTCAATCGCCAGTCGGACAAATTTCATATGGCCCGTGCACCACATCGACGGTAAGCACTCATTGGCCAATCACAGCGATTCGTTTGACGACGCTTCACCATGTCAACTTCAGCTTCACTCAATTCCTCACCAGACGGGAAATCAGATTCAGTTTCTCCTTTTCCATTTACCAAGCTCAAGGGTATTTCGTAAAGTCACAAAAAGACCGTTTCCTTCCTACCGAAAGCGCGCTTTCCAAGTCCCATTCCCTACCATGCCATACCTAGTAGGGACTGTATCTCAAGTACTAGAAAGAAACGAACGGAGCTCATCTTACGAACTGCCTCACTTCTTGTCCCCGGCTTGCTCCTCAAGCTCCTTTCGCAGCTGCTTGATCGATGCAGCGTTATGGGGAGACTCGATCATTGATCCAATCTCCAAGAACTCTTGCGCATCCTCCACCGACAAGGTCTGCAGGTACTTGGCGAGGCCGTCGGACGACGCCATTTTACTAAGCAGCTGATTAGGCGTCGCCGCATTCGAATTAATGTAGTCGGTGACGATGCCCTTGCACTGCTCGAAGAACTTTTGAGATGAACCCTTGGAGATGCCATGCCACAGGAGCCAGGGCGTAGAAATCTCGCGAAGCTCGTCCAACGAGTGCGTGGTGCAGATGTTGTAGTGCTTGGCCATGCGAGGACCAAGGAGCCCGACCGAGTCAAACTTGACCTTCTGACCGTGTTTGATCAACCGGTCGACCCAAAGGGCAACGAGGCGGATGGTCTCGGACCCCGCGGGCAGCAGCTGGTTTTGCTCGCTGAGCTCACCCTTGACAATGACATCGAACACACGCCGATCCATCCAGATCTTCTCGTAGACATCGCACTCCTTCTGACAGTTGGTGACGCCAATGGCAAACTCGTGAGAGTACGGGTTCGGGTCGTGGACAAGGTACTGCCGGAAGAGTCTCTCCTCGCGCAGACGAGTGGTGGCCTCCCTGAAGATGTCGTCCGAGTGGACCATGAACATGTAAGTCCTCTCCCTGAACAATTGCTCCTTCAGATGCGACAAGGCAAAGGGTCCGGGAACATTGGGCCACTTGGCGGCGATGTACGTCTTGATGCACGATCTCCAAGTGTAGGCGACCTCATCACGGCAAGAGACGAGACCTTGCTGCTCGCGGGGAAACCAGTGAGGCGTCATGTCCGTGACAACCGTTGAGCCAACGCAGTACGCAAGTCTGTATCATTCCCTAGTTAGCCTCATCTTCGCCAATGGGATCGTGTCTACCTTGGAGGAGTACCTAGACTTGACCCATACCTCGCCCGGGAGGAGGATCTCGTTAAAGCCGAACTTGGCTCCAAGAAGGTCGATGATGAACAAGTCGTCGCTTCCCTTCAGCCGACAATTGAGAACGGGATGAGGCCAGAACATCGGATCCTTGCCCTTGGCAGTGTTGATGGCGGGGCCTTCGCGGCACCGATCAGCGGCAAGAGAGGTAATACTGTTGGCATTGCGCAGGAACATCTGCATCTCAACCACATCGTCACAGAGCGCTATCGCCATCGGTTAGTTCATACTGCTGTTCGTCTTCCGAATGAGATGAACGGGAGAAAAAGACGCTGGGAGGACATAGGCCTGAGAGCGATACTTACGGCTGACGATTTGGCGAATGATAGTCTGAAGGTGGTAGTAGAGGTTGTCACCAGCATCCCAAGCCAATGCTCTCGCGCGGTCCTCATTCCTCTTGTCCGCCAAGTACGACTTGCCGAGAGGGAACACCTGCTCCCCCACCCAAGGTCCAACAGCACACGCAGCCGGGGTGACGGCGAAGCGGGGGACGCTGTTGAGGTCGAGCGCCTTGGTCTTGTTATCACGGACCTCGATCGGGGAGATATCAACGGCCTGGCCGGAAAAAGTCGCGGCCATGAACTTGTCCGCGATGCCCTTCAGAATCCAGACGGCTCGGATGAAGTGCTTGTGACGCTGACACTCCTCAAAGTGCGTCTTCCAATCCTTCTTCTGGCACTTCGGGCCGCAGTAAGTTCGACGAAGGTGCGGAAACCACTCGACGTAGCAGCCGCTGCAGTGGTGCATGGGCTTTTTCGCTCCACAGCGAGAGATCTTGCGCTCGTGACCGCAGGTAACACACTTCTCGATGCTCAATAGCTCGTTCAAGTCACACTTGCTGCCCAGACGGACCTTGATGTCGGCATCCTCGTCTTTTCTTCCACGATGAATCCAGCGGGCATACTTCAACCACTTATGCTTCTGAACGTATGCCTCTCCGGGACAGGGGCCACCATCAACAGCTTCGCAAAGGTGGTTTGGCTTGACAGGGGCAGGATTATCGACAATCTCAGAGTTGTGGTATAAGGCAATCTCGCCGAGAAGCTGGGTGAAGGAGCATCGAATAGACAAGTCGGATCTATCCCAGAGAGAGAAGGCGAAGCGCCCGGCCCACCACAAGTCAGAGGCAGCCTTGTCGTCGGATTTGGCGATGATATCCTCGATGCTGGAGTTGGCATAAGGCCAGAGGGCCAGGGCGAAACGGCGGTTATAATCTGCAGACTTGTTGCTTCCCTTGAAGCCTGCGTCATCTTCCTGGATTTGCGGCAGAGCCGAGAAGAGGTAGTTCACTGGGTCGCCGGGCAAGCTATCATACCGCTCGGAACGATCGAAATAAGAAGGAAGATCTTCCTGGAAGAGGATATAGTCGAGCTCGGGAAGGCCTCTGCGAGTGGCACCAGCTGCACTTTTTTCACCCTTGGGCTGCGACGAAGATTAGTCTGATAAATAGGAAATGAGGTGTTGGGGTGGAAGGGAAACTTGAGAGATGACATACTATGGGACCAGATGCGTTCATCAGGCGGAGGAAATGGTTTCGGCCGGTCGATGGGAAGCAGCTGCGCTTTGTGTCCTTGTAAAGTCCCTGCTCTGACTTCTCGGCCTCCATGAGGATGGTATCAATGCTCTTTGCGGCACTGAGGCAAGAGTCGCTCGTAAGATAAGTGATGATGGGTTGAGGAACGAATGTCTCGAAGAAGTGGACGAGGCAGGCCAGGGGGAACAGGCAGTTGCTCTTCGGAAAGTTGAGAAACGCGAAGACGATGCCAGCTGCAGGATCCTCCTCCTTGGATTGATTGACGATGAGATCGAGGAGTTTGGCGAATTCTTCGGGGTGAGTGATGGGAGTGGAAGTAACGAGCTGGCAGCAGAATGATTCGGGTTCCTTCCTTGCCGGTCCGCCGTCGTCGCCTGAGCCTGAGGCGCGAGGAAATTCCTGGAGGCAGGAGGACGCCATCTTGGGATCTCTTTTTCTCGGCTTCTGCTTCAGATGAGAGCCCTCGCTGGGTGGCTGTGGTGATGGATGGGCTGCAACTTTTGGAGTTTCTCTTTTCCAGCAATGTCGAGAAAAAAAAGAGGATGTCGTGGAGGAAAGGTTTGTTTGTATTCTTCAACAGCAAGAGAGTTCTATTTTGTTTCTGAGCAACAGCCCGCCCCTTCGTCTCGAAGAAGTCGCATGCCCCAAGGCCCGCGGCTGAGAGGAAGTGTGGCTTGAATCCTGTGATGCGGGTCACTCCAGGTCCATCTGTGTGAAGGGAGGCGCTTCCAGGAGATCCTCAGTTCAAAGTATCAACGAGGAGCAGCTCCTTTGCTTGCTACTTCCACCTCTCGACCATAGAAGCTTCTCGTTATCCTTGTACCTACCCTACGCTCCTTGGCAGGAAAAAGGGTAAATAACAAAGAGACGACCAACAGGGGTGATTTCTAATAGTCAAACACAACAAGGTGAAGGTTGTCTGGACAAAGGTAAACCCAATCAACCTCACGAATCAATATAGCTTGTTGAAGATTACGATGCAAGTTGGGTGTTGACAAACTTGTTTGTCTCCTCATATGAAGGCAGTATTCTGTTATCCACTAGAGACGTTGCAAAAGCAACACTATCTGCCTTTTCAAGGAAGTCAACTAATGTCTACAATCCCAAAGTACCTCATAGCTCTAGAGATACGTCCAACCCAGGCGCTCTTGGCCAATTTGGCCACCAATGTGGCTTGTACTGTCCCACACCTTCATAGACCACCGCATCGGAAACATTGTTCCCTCCTGGATCAGCTTCCAATCTCCTATCTCTGTCAATATTGTTAGCATCTTCGAGGGCAGAAAGAAAGGCAACCTTACAGCTGGTCCAGGGACGGTGACGATCCCACCAGAGCACCCAAGCCTTGTCCTGCTCTGCCTGCACCTCAGTCTTCAGAGTCGAGAAACCCTTGCCAATGGATTGTCGATAGGTCTCGAGAATGGTCCGATACATATCGAGAGCATCGTACAAAGGCCAGTCCCAAGGATATCCTTGCTTGATCTGGTGCTGTCTCCATGCCTCGAGGTGCATGATGAACTGAAGAATAAGACGCCATGGGGCAACAGCAGAGTCCGAACGCGAGAGCTCTTTGTCCATCTCGCTGTGAAGCCTCTTGATATTGTGCGGATGCATTACGGGAAAGTTCTTGGTGCGCATGTCGGTGAAATAAATCGCTGCTGCTTGATAGTCTCCCCTGTCCCACCCCCCAGCGGCACCCTGCAGATGGTTGAAGCGAATGAGAAACTGGCCAACGGCGTTCCTGACAGGAGGCGATGTTGCAAACGAAACCCGGCTATGGGGCTCCGCCATGTAGTTCCAGTTCTGAGAGCCAAAGGCGTTAAGAAGATCCTTCAGAATGTCACAGTCTCTTCCTGAATCAAGAGGGGTGATGACGTATCCGGTTCCCCATGACAGAAGGAAATTGTATCGACAGGCACCGTTGTCGCAACCTGGGAAGCCGCACCAGCGCCATTCGGGGTCCGGAGCCTTGCCGGCATGTTCCCTGAGGTCGCGCACGCGGTAGTTGGATCGGACGGAGCGGGATCGGAGTAGCTGTCGATAGTATTGCTCGTTAGCCAAAGCTTTGTCCTGCTTGGAAATACGGTTGGAGTGCAGAACCTGTTCGCGAAGATCTCCAGTCGATAAGCCAATTCGGTGAGGGGTTCTTCGCGAGGGGCCGGCTTCCGAGGACATCGTGTTCACGCCGCTCAAGGTTCGAGCTGGGCGACCTTCCGCGTCAATCGGCTTCCGAGCCGCCGAGTCGAAAATTTGGGATGCTGAGGACGTGGGCTCAGATTGATGGAGTGCCTCCTGGGACGTTGGGGCTGGGCGTGGTCTAGGGATAGTCGCAGACAATGCGGGACGTAGCCAGCTCTCTAATTCAGGGTGCAAGGTGCGGTGATGAAGAGCTGGTAGAGACCGATCGGGTGAGGTTTTAATATCGATGGGCTCAGATGTGGCATCGGAGGAGCTGTCAGAGTTCCAAAGTATCGCCCAGCCGGTGGACATTGGGGAAGCTGGGTTATTGATGACAGTTAGGGGATGGTCGCGTTCGGCGTTGTTTACTTCGGTAGTCTCAGGGAAGACGTAGTCGTCTTCGTCACTGTTGGGCTGCACCATTGTGGACGGCCTGGTTCTCGAATTTGGGAATACGTCTTACAAGAGTAGCAAGTCCACTTAACGTTCCCAAACCAGTTCCGAGTGGAGGGTTGCTCTATATAGTACTCGGTATACAATCAAGCCATGTTCAAAATCCCCCCAGAAGCCATAGGAAGCTTCAAGACAGCAAATGAGACAGGCAGCTATGATTAGGAAAGGCATATATCAGACAACAGACAAAGGGGCCTACACTGTGTCCCGTAATTCTTTGAGCAGCCTTGTTGTCTAACAACACCAAGCATAAGCCCTTTGTGGTTTGTCGTCTCAAATCAATGTCAGCTAAGGGTCTAGGGTCTCTAGTACAAGGTCGCCAGGCTAGTGAGCAAGGTAAAGTCAATCCTTCTGACATCATGTTTAGATATCCTACAAACTCGGCATGCCTCAATTCTCTCACCTTCTGAAGATAACTTACGTGATCTGTACCTTGAACTCTCTTGATAGAGACAACAGAGTGCGTCGACGTCAGCTGTAGAGTATGAAGAAGAACATGCTTACATGCTTTTCTGCTTGTCTGCCTGGTCCCTTGAGATACGACGCCCGGTGTATCAAATTGAGACCGAAGAAATACATAATCCGCAGAGACGACAGTGGGCAAAACTAAAGTAGTGCACATGGGGTAGAAGTTCTAGAAAGCCTAGGAGGAGTAGATAGGCAAGGCTTTTCCACAACAGCTATTCAGAGATTGAGATCACATACAATCTCCGGCCTCTTGTAGCCGTCACTAAGCTTGCGGATTCTCAAGTAAACAGGGAATAATCCCTCTACGTTCTAGAATGATTAAAAGTCAAATCAATTAAACTCCAGAAGCTCGAATGCTTAAACCATTGTCAAGAAGCATTAGGATAGCCTTCCACTCAATCTAAGTCCGCATCAACGACCTTGATCCAATCCTTCTCATCCTCCTCACTTTCGTCACCATTTGCGGCGTCGGTATCCTTCGCAAGTACACGCTGGCGTCGATCGGATTCTTTAGCTGACTCCTCGGTACGGTGAGATCGAGCTTCGTAGTTGGCAACGAGCTCCTTTACACGACCGCCGCCGAAGGAACCAGTGTGTTGGAGGCGGAACTTACCAGATTTGGAACGAGAGTGGGACTCAACAGAGGCATCGTTATTACGCTGAATCAACTGGGCCTTGATCTCCTCAGTCTTCGATCGCTGAGTGGCTTTGGGCTTCTCTGGTTGGGGATCTGAGAAATCGGCAGGTGCGTCAGAGGGGCGGTTGTCTTCTAGGTGTTGGAAGACGCGCTCGGCGTATTCAGCGGCTGATGAAGAGTCTTCGGCATGAGGCGCCATTTTGAGGATGTATGCGACAGTTGAGAAGTTATGGGCTCTAAGTGAGAGTCACGGTGATTGAAGTAACTTCTGTAAGGAGGCGATGTTGATGTTATTCAAGTAGGGAGATATTTCATGTAGGAAGCTGCTAAAATTATGTAAATTGTCGAGTTCAATTTCTATCATGTAGTTCAAATTGACTGAGGGACACTAGCATTCATGGTAATGGACTAGACTTTGAAGATATCATACAAATACTTTGTGACAGTTGGATGTGAGACAATGCTCTCTGATCATGGCCCTTGTAGAAAGACCTGTCTGCACAGATTCAGAACTTTCGTGGAGAAAGCTCATTAGTGTTCTTTGTTAACCGTTTCTGCATCACAAGAAACTTGTGTCGCAATGCGAGGATTTCACCTTTTTCAGTTCGAATATCATGCTCGCTTTCATGTGGCCGAAGACAAAGGAATGGTTCATTGCAGTTTTCTTGACAGCCTAAGCAAAAGGATCCATCGTGATACCTTGCCAAATCCAGGAGCTAAAAGCCTTTGAATGCCGGTCTTAGGGACCGAATATTACTCCATGTGCCTTTGAATGCTCGAAAGGTTCGCATCAAACTGATACTGTGTGAGGAGAGCCCTCGTCCGGTGTTGGCTTCAGACAATACAGTCTTCGCTTTGAAAGAGGTTCTCATACTAGCTGTGGTAGAACGAGAAATTGACAGCCTCTACTTGTCAGATTCGGCCTGCAAAGGTACTCATGACGGATAGAGCAGTTCTCATCTCAACTGCATGTTTAGTTTCGACTTGACTGAAGATGTGACGGATAATAGCCTACTTTAGCGCCCGACTAATGAAACAGCCACATCGTGTGCCATTCTTTTTACCTACCTTTAGAGTTATAGTACCTATGGCTTCAAATCAGCCGTGGCGCAAAGCTAGGCCGAGATGCTATACCAGGTAGCTCAATTATTCCGAGTCAGCCTTGAAATATGCCCACGCTATCATGACCGATCGCTGGTCACACAAAACGGCCGTTCACGCTACTAGCCATGCTCATGGCCTTTTCACATTTACAGTGACGATTCTAGTCCTCAATTAGCATAGCCGGGTGACTTTAGGCTAGGTGTTGGCGGATCAGGCACCGGTTTAGGTGGTGCATAAATGACACCTTTAGGGTTCTTCGTTTCTCGCCGCATTGTGGTCCTGGTGGTATAGTTCTCGCCCGAATTATAGAAACATCATTCCTGAAGCAAGTAGGAGATAATACGTCATTACTTGGGCTTGCAGTGATACAGAAGCATGTGAGTTCCAGCTCGTCATAACCAGCAGCAATTTTACTTCTGACTGTTCAGTCGAGCCTATGCTGATGGCGGTCCTCACTCCCTGGGGCAAAGTAGGCTGCCAGATAGTAAGACCAGACCCATGAGCTAGGATAGCCTGATGTATACTGCCTCAGAAATTGTTATCGGGTGAAGCCTGTGCAATGCATACCTTCGGGCTGCAGGGCGAGGAGAGATGGTGCCTCATTTAGAGTTGAGGCCTACAGCTATTCTGGACCAATGACATGGATGGTCCAGCAGAACTCAATTGCCAATTCATTGAGCACTTGCCGCTTTCTGAACGCACTCTTGAGCATAAAACGGCTCTCCTCCCTCGAGGACTCACTTTCTTTTCACTCTTCTTGCCACGGCCGGCACGGTGGTGCTATGCCACTCGTTCTTTTCAACTCTCGCCGTCCGTTCCTTACCTCTTTTCTAGCTCTCCTCTCTTGGCCATAGAAACTCTGCTCTTGCCGTCAGATTTTCTCAACAGGCTCAACACTCCTTCAACTCGTTTGGTAGTCCGTCTACATATCTAGTTCGACCTCGCGAGGCTCGACCGGTCAAACAAGAGAACATCATAATCATCGCTTTGAGACCGTAGATCCGTCGTGGGTAAAGACCGGAAGTGGCGGGCCGCTAGGTGACTATGACTGGGGTATATCGTCAAGTTTACCTCAGCCTGTTGAGCAGGATGGGGAGCAGAGTAACAATGAGCCAAGTTCATCTCCGGAATATGGGGCACCTGCCCCAAGCCCGTCTCTACTGGAACAATACCAAGAAGATCACGAGCATGGCAGCCAGTCAGGCGTGGAACACATCGCCCCCAGCACTGTTCAGAGCACCGAAGACACAGAGCCAACTGAACTACGATGCGACGAGTGTGGGAATGTTTACGCAAGGCTTTGGGAGGTGAAGTATGTCAACCTCAGACTGCCGACATTAAAAAAAAAGATCGTTGCTGACCTGTTCGCAGTCGCTGTAAGATCAAGCATGAGAAGCCGTTCAAGTGTAGAACGGGAGACTGTTCTTGGGCTTTCCGATACAGAAAAGACCTCAAGCGACACTGCGAAGAGCGGCATTCGGACAGGGAGGGCTATTTCTGCCCGTTCGCCGGATGCAAGTACTCGCAAGAGAAGGGTGTCGGTATCAAGAGGAAATCCAACTGGCAAAGACACGTACAGACACAGCATCGCGGCTAGTATGAAGATTGGCAGCCTCATGGATCGACAGAGATAATCCCTCAATACAATGGAAATGTCATGCCGGGCAAGCAAGACTCTTTCCCGCCCATTGCGACCGCAAAAAGCGACCCGAAGAGCGGTTCTGAATCAAAGACCGAGCTCTAGCCGTAGGCAACAACAAACTTCCCCCGGCCCCCAACGTCTAGCTCCCACAGCTCCCTGCCCAACCCCCGTTAGCGGAGATTTCGCAAGCGAGATGGCGGTCTGAGAATGCAGTGAATGGCCAGCCTTATTGGAAACATGCTACGAGTGGCAGCTCGTAAGTCGCTTTGGGGATGGTGGCTTACGCTAGTCATCCCGCGTAGTAATTTAGTCGCGATGATTCGTTCCTTATCTGTCTTAGCTGTCAGCCCTGGCGCTCAGCTGCGTCGAACCGGCCCATTCTCAGAGCCCATTCCCAGACGCCCACGATAAAGAAAGAGTGCGGCTGTTAGACGGAGATTGTGGCCGCCGGGATGGGCAGCAACTTGAATATCCTGATCATGCCAGCCTTAAGAATGTCTCTGTGCCCCGCGCCATGGATGGCTGCTTGTCCCCCACTCGAATCCACAGTTTCTTGCACATTACGTTCAGTTGTCGTGAAGAGATACCTCGAACAGGCGTGAGAGCCGCCGCCTCCACTCGACAATGAACTCCTACGATCCCGAAACCATGGACCTTTGGGTTCCGGGTACGGAGGTCAAAGGCTCTGGGAATCTGACCTGGGAGCAACTGGACTTCAACCGCAACTGCACGAACTGGGGTCAATGGCTGGCTGCCATGCTTCAACCTGATCCATGGGATCCAAAGTCGACTCGAGGAATGAGTGTTCAGCTGTCAATGGCACTGTACTCGACGGCTATGCCGAAGGGATACGAGACGACCTACTCCGACGTATCATATTGGTTCGCCTACAATATGTATCATACACCATACCCGGAAAACTCGAGCGACCCCACATACTATCTTTTCAGCACACGATTCAATGAAACCGTTCTATGGGGCCCAAAAGAGCATTGTGAGGCCGAATTCTGCAAGGCCGTCGGATATACAGGAAGCCAAGATCTCTGCGGTATTGGAGTAAGAACAGAACGCCTGAAGTCGCTATGCTGTGCAAAGATCTATTGGCTAACATAGTGAAGGTGGTGGTATCCTACTACCTCGAAGCCATCTTAGCAACGATGTACCTTGTCGCATTCACGATTCATCAAGTACGACGCCACTTCAACAAGAACCTCTGGGAGAAGACGCGACCGAAGCAAAAACAAAGACTGAGCGGTCGCATTCTCGACTCGTTCCGCGGATCGCTCGACATGTTCCTCAGCGGCTCAATGCTGATCGCAGTGGCCATGTTGGGAGCTTCCGTCTACTCGGCCGCTACAAACTTCAAGGAGAGATCGGAGATCAACCCCGACCTCCCATCAGCGGATGCGATTTACGAGCAAGCCTTGGCACTGATCGCGTCCAACTACTCTGTGTTTCCGGTCATGTTGCTCTACGCGCTAGCCAAGCACGATGGCCATCGCAAGTGGCTTCATCGATCTGTCCTTGGCCTCCTTTGGGGTTTGAGCGTGACGGTGGTGTATCTGGCACCAAGGGCGGAGATAGATTACAAGGAACGAAAGAGTGGGCACAGAAACTTTGACTGCGATCAACGTGGCTCGCAGTACTGGCCCGTCGTCAAAGCCACTCAGTTCTTGGTCATTGCGCTGCCGATGATATGGCTCCTCCTAACACTGTTCGTTACCACTGGCTTTAAGATTCCCGGCATGATCGATAAGCCTTGGGTCAAGAGATGGAGGTCTTGCTGGCGAATGTTGGTCGCCTGGATCAACCTGTTGGTCATGTGGGGCATACTAGGCTACTTTACTCACTTCCGCCAGAAGATCATCAACGCGGCTGATGGCATTGACAAGAACGATAAGTGGACGTTTGGACAAGTTCTTGCTCTGGCAGCTTGGGTACCAGTCATGGCTGAGCTGCTGTACATACTAATCTGTAAGTCTACAACGGGATGCTGCTCTTTACGTACGTTACTGACTGGCTCCTTAGTCGGACTTGAGGAGGGTCTGTCAGGCCATATGCCTGCCGACTACCACGCGACCCATGTCACGCAACCTGACCAGAACATGGGAGTTCCTCTCCTCGACAGAGGTTCGATGTACGACATGAAGCACGCCTCTACCATGTCAGCAATGTCTGTATCCACAACGTTATCTTCGCCAGCGACTCCTGGGCAGGTACAAACGCCTATGTGGCAGCAGAACTCTGGATACCAACACAGCCCTGTGTATCAGCCAGTTAACATGCAACAGCCCCACGTTCAGCATCATCAAAGTTGGGACGGATACTACCACACGGGTTGGTAACTCACCAAAATATACGAAAAAAGACGGAATGAACGAAGACTTCAAGTTATAGCGATCGAGGGCCTTTGTAATGATGAAGATAGTGTTAATCAATAATGTGTTATACAATGAGACTGTGGAAGTAGTTCAACAGAGTCTGATCCGTTGTGATGTCCACCAGCAAACATAGAAGCTCCTGCCTTCTGCGCGCCACTGATCACTTCCAAAATTGTCCCAAATCCAACATTGAGAACGGTAGATCATTTTCATTCCCCATCTGTTCCACGATTGAAAGGAAGTCATCCGAAGAGATACCGATAGTCTCGAGAAACTCGGTGTTATCTGGTGTATCCGAAAATACACTCGCGAGCGGCTGCGACTCACTCACCGTCGTCGTAGACACCAAGTCAGGTTCGCTGACAAAAGTTTGAGTTGTGATCGGATCGATGACTGCTTCAATTGAGCCCGATGGTATCCCATTAACTATTAGATGGCGTCAGTACATATGTGCGTAGTTTCCCAAAGGATAATGACGAATCATATCTGTCTGGCTCTATTTCCTTCAACCCTTCCCATTTAAGAGCAGAGATAGAGAGGAAAGTAGAGAAAGACGGAGACGAGAGAAAGGCTGGAGACGGATGTACTGACGCCTTGTAGTAGGTGAGTGGATACGGTCTTCAAAGTCTTGGTCGCGTACCCGCCGCGTGAATTCGCGAAACAAAGTCTCCAAATGGACCAACTCTGCTTTTCTAACCTCTGCCACCAAGTTTCCTTTACTGATCATGTCATCCAAGATGTTGTGTGTCTGTTCCATCTGAGACAGTCCATCGTCGCCTATTACCGCTGGGAAGAGTGCCTTGGCCATTGTTAAGTGTATGGCAGCTCCATAAGCATATTCCAACTCAAATGGTAGAAAGACTTCTGTTGGTGGTTTGACGGTTATTTGGAGTCGTGCGTAGTGTCAAAGAAACGGTCAGATTGTACTCATACTTACCTAATAGACTATCATCCCCAGACAGAATTTGAAGACTCTTCACTGCCGATTTAATGCCCGTCTCGACCAGAGTCTTCAAGGGAGCTGAGAAGGTTTGTGGATCTCTTCCACACCACTCAAAGTTCTCAAGCTCTTGTTTTAAAGCGGATAGAAAAAGTGGCCTCGTAGCCATGATAACACACTCCAAGAAGACGATTGTCAGTCGGAAGATGACTGAATGAAAATAAAAAGCAACAACTCACCTGATGGTATAGCAAGGTAATGCTTCTTGTTCCTTTCGGCATGGCATCCACCGAGTTTTGGAACTTGAATCGAGTTATCTTCTCAATCTCCTGTGCGTGACCAGCCAAGGCATGAATGATGGACTTTGTCGAAGTAAGGAACTCCCCAAGTGGAGTCTTCTCGGACCTGTAGATAGCTTCAAAGCCGAAACATTAGTACAAATCTCTGTGGGAACAGATGGGACTGACTAGTAATGATTGATGATAGCAAACGCGAGAGTTTGACTTGGAGACCAAGCGTTGCGTCACGCTGCGAGCATATACTCGGGGGGTCAAGCACAGTGGTAATGTCTGCGTCTTGAGTGTTCATGGGGACTCCTACAGAGCAGGAAAAATGTCGATCCATAATATACAAAGTCCACCAGAGGTTGCGACAACGAGCGACCACTTGAGTTCCGAGTGCATCCTCAGGAAGTTGGGTGTGCAAACCCTCCAATTGGGCTATCCGAATCGCTTGAGCTATCTGCCAAAGGAAATCAGATGGGGCTCGAATGAATTACTTGACAAAACTGGATGTAGACTCACGTATAATTGTGCAGATTCTCTCTGATAAATCGAATACAAATATAGACCTGCAAGGGCTAACACCTCGATGGCTAGCAAACTGTCTTTCCACAAGGCGTTCGGCTCTGGTAGTAGCGCCATGGCGCGAACGAAGAACTTTGCACCAGGCGGTTCCTTTGAGTCCTTTGACCGTGAAAGAAAAGCTTGCCCAAAGGATAAGACGAGCAGGAATTGTACAAACCACAAAGGTGACTCTGCCGCTTTCTTGGATGCCAGGCCGTAGTAGAATTCTTCTAGATTCTTGACAAAATTTGTCTCGTCAATAAGTTGATAATTCTGACCAAGATGGAACTTTACGGTGTTGAAGAGATAGATAGCATGGTCAATGGAAGGAAGTCCACTGATGTCTGGTTGTCCATCTACCGTCGAGGCTTTCCACCTTAAGGGGTATATTTCGTCATTGAGAAAGCTAGGTGCACTGAAAGGGGTTTCAACTTGGACTCTCTCAGCCATCATTAGGGTGAGACGGGCAGTGAAAGACCATGTTGATGATGGAGCCAGCCAAACTATTCATGCAATTATTGTCAGTATGACTGCCTGTTCAATCACAGTCCTTCACTTACTCCAATTACGTTTATTCTTGTGGGTGTTTTTGATAGTCGTAGAGGGCAACGTGAATGGGCTTGTGTACACGCACTCGGAAGAGTCATACAACTGAGATGACCTACACTCGACTGACTGAGAATCTGGAACTGATAAATTAGCTCACCATCACAGTTTGGAAAAGGAGCTTTGGGTTAATCACTATAGTCTTCGTCATCGGATCCAAACGCTGCACCGCGAGATCGCTTGCTCCCTGGTGTCGATTGTTGTTCTGAGACACGCCTTTGCCGCCCTGAACTGCTTCTAAAGACTTCATCAGATAAAGAATTCATCAGACTTTGAGTCGTAAGATCTCGAATTCCTTCACAAACCTCTCGGTATTGACCGCAATGTTTGTTCCTTCCGAGTACTCGCATTTCATTAAACGCCGCTGGCAATTTGCGCACGGCTCTTCGCCGGAGCATTTGATCTTACTTTGTCGACAGCTAAAACATCTAGCATATGGTCAGTGGACCCTTCCACCCGTAGGATATTGGTACAAGGATTGGGATTTACGCGTTTGTCGTTCGCCCTAGCTTCCGTCTCTCGGAGTCTCTAGTTCCTCTGCTTGCGGGCGACATTTCCCAGGGTGCAAAATTGCGCGAGTTTGGATGCAGAGGCTGGGAGGATGAAGTTGTAACTCAAGAAATGTTATCGACTTCATTTGCAAGGCATCGAACGTATCACGGAAGCCAAAATAACAGTGAGGTCGACAACGTCAGCCATCCACCCATCAGATAGTGTCCGGTAGTGTCGTGTGACTAAAGGCTAGGACTGGACAGGCAGGGCTTGCCGAGAGGCGGGGTTACATGCATTTTACCCCGCAAAATCATCAGAACAGTATTAGGGAGTAAGCTCAGTTGTTAGCAGCATTTATGGCTAACGAGTGGCAGCTCTGAGGATGCAGCTGGAATTGGCATTCAAGGTACCACAACCGCATATTCAGTGAGTGGTTGGGGCTCTCAGAGAGCGAACGGGCCTTCAGTCATCCTATGTTGCTATCTATTGTTTGGCTGAGAATTCCTCCGCATTTGTGACAGGATGGCTCTCGGGGATTGAGCCAGGAGAGGCGCTGGATGAAGCCCAGTTCTTCAGCATTTTGACAGAGCTGGAGCTAGTCTCACGAGTTAAGTTCGACTCCGGCACTTCTGCCAATTCTTTCAGGTGGAAATATCCGTAGCAATTACGGAATTAGGACTGAAATACTCGGTAAATTGGTAGATTTAGGGTCTACACGGGCTATCTCTGGAAGCGATCGCGATAACAGCTATGGATTGGATTTGGGTCTCCAGCATTCAGCTACATTAGTTACCCGACTTAGTTTACAGGGATCGGGAGCAGGGATCGGTTCGGCTTCCAGGGCCTCGGGTGACTTATCAGGATTCGGAACAGCGTATCTGTTCACTATCTTAGGTTTGTCTCTCTTTTTGCTAACCACTTCCGGGTATGTCTGGACGACGTCTAAGTTCCACCACAAACCCCCGTGCCTCTGTGTTTCTTGACAATCGCCACTTTCGTAGGGAGGGGATCTTTCTTAGCCGGTGGTCCTTTGCCAACTTATGCCCGGTAACTTTACGACGAGTCTTACAGCAGGTCACGCTTAGGCAAATTTCTCAGGCGTTCCGGTGCAAGGTAAACTGTGTGAATTACCTTGACGCCGTATATACTGGCTGTGATCAAATAACTGTGAATTTCTACGAGTATCTGTCGAGAAGACTTCATACGCTTGGATCCTGCCTGCCAATATGATACAATGACATCTATTCAGCGACATCGAACTCGACAGTCCCCCATCCCTCAAACGTACAAGACCAGCGACCAGCTTCCTGCATTGGCACTGCCTGCAGGCAGCTACCAGGTAGGATGACCTGCCCTGCAACGAACCCAACATCATATCTTGCAAGTTTATTCGCTAGCCAGGCTACGGCAGACAGTGGATTTCCGAGCACGTTTCTGGTGTTGCCCGACATGACCTCCTTATCATTGAAACGTAGCATCCCTCTCGTGTTGCTCAAGGTGAGATCGGTAAGTGGGCGGGGTGTACCACCTAGGATGACGGCGCCGGTTGATCCGTTATCAGCCAGAGTGTCCGGGAGGTCAATGGCCCAGTCTCGTACCCTGGAGTCGATAATCTCTATCGCGGGGATGGCGTAGTCTATGGCGTTGATGACGTCGGCGACAGTGACATTTGGTCCTCTTAGAGGGCCTTTAAGGACGAAAGCTGGCTCAAGCTCGACATACGGCTTGATAAAATCCTTGAGGCTCAGAGTCGTTCCCTCGAAGATGAAAGTGCTCGCGAGGAGGAAGCCATAGTCGGGTTGGTCGAGGCCAAAGGCGTCTTGCATGACCTTTGCGATGTTGCCCAGTTTATATCCAACGACTCTGTCGCCATCTTGACTAACTGCGTTCTTGACGGTGACCTTTTGGACTTCAAAGGCGCTATCCGGATCGAGACTTGTCCACTTCTTGGTTGGGGGTTCAATCGGCTCTTTGCTGATACGGGCAGCACGAAGAGCTGACGATATCTCTTGGAGTTCAGAGTCCTGCATTGCCTCTCTATAATCTTCACGTTGGAGAATAGGTTTGATCTGAGAATGCAGTCGATGAGTAGAATAATCGGCCAAGACTCCTTGTATTTGTGCCATTTGCCTTATGGTGAGTTATATGCCTCGGCATCGAAGTGAAAACACTTCCATATCCGGTGTGGACCCCGAAAGCATAACGTCACGAATCTGTTATCAGAGAGTCCATTAAAGCCATCGACTTTCATTAGTATCCGAGACGCCGAGTACCTATCATCTGCATTCGAAGTTGATAATACCGGACCTGTTGGTCGTTGTCAGCGACGGAATACCCGACCCATGTCACCCGAGACTAGCCAATTCCCACACCTCCCGGCTAGATCTTCCGAATGGGGACTTTCCACAAGGCGATCGTCGTTTAAAGCTGAACCTGATGGTTTCTGCGTCTCTGTCTATCCTCAGCTCCTTACCCCACACAAGGCTAGCAAATCCTTTCTCGGTAGATTCTGGCGGAGGAGCTCGATGCCGAAGGTTGCTCATCTTCAACTTGGGAATTCAGTGCGCGAGAAGCTGCCATCAAACAAGTTCCGAGACGGGAATCCACACTGATCGCAACTACAAGTCAGAGTGTTGAAGGAAACATAAGGTACTAGAGTAATCCACGTGCCTTCTCGTGGGGTTAGAGAGGCGGACAAGAATACTGTGGAGTCCTCGGTGAACCAGGCATATTACCTTGAACCCATGCCCGAGACCATGCCTAGCGTCCGAGCATTGCGTGTCCGAAACGATGGGACCAATCCGGGGTAGGTTGTAATGGTCAACTATTGATAGGTCGTCCTGAATCTCTTCCTTGTTCTCAGTGACATTCGATGGCCCACGCTAAGGTTTCCTGGTATTCTTAAGTTCAGGAGCCCCCTAATCCAAGACGTCTGCCATTCAAACTTCACATATCTTTTTCAAACCTGCTCCAGACATCTCTAGATCCGAAGTATCTCAGAATTTATTCCATCATCATCAGCATTGTGTCAACTCTGCTTTGCTGGGCAATATGAGCTCCCCGTCAATCACCTCAGAGCCAAAGGCCTCGGTCACAAAGATGAATTCCAAAACCAGTGACAAGACTGAAGTTGTCAATGGGGAAATATTACACACTCCCGAACATTTGCAACGACATCTTACTCCCCGACAAGTCCAATTCGTAGCTATCGGTGGCTCTATTGGGACTGCCCTATTTGTGAGTATCGGGTACGGGCTCATGCGAGGAGCGGCAAGTCTACTCATTGCATTCGTGCTCCACGCCTTGGTTATTGCCCAAGTCAACAACTCACTTGCGGAGATGACCGTCTTCATGCCCATAAGCGCTGCATTTATTCATCACGCCAGTGCCTGGGTTGATGATGCTTGGGGTTTCATGATCGGCTGGAACTTCTTCCTGTTCGAAGCGCTTCTCATACCGTTTGAGATCACCGCTTTGGACATGGTCTTGACCTTTTGGAGAGATGACATCCCTTCAGCTGCGGTTATTACCGTTTGCATTGTGCTCTACGCGTATGTACTATCTTGTCAGTTGGACTCGAAGGATATCCTAGTACTAAACTGCCCCCGGTCAGCCTTTGCAATGCACTCATGGTCAAGTACTTTGGTGAAACAGAGTTTTGGCTCGCAGGGGGTAAACTTCTCCTCATTGGAATACTGTTCTTCTTCACCTTCATCACTATGGTTGGAGGTAATCCGCAGCGTGATGCATACGGATTCCGTAATTGGTCCAAGCCTGTATGACACCATGACCTCCTTCACGCCTGTCGATGTTGTATCGTATATCGCTTACTTAAAGAACAGGGTCCTTTTGTTGAGTACATTGACGATGGCGACTTGGGCCGCTTCCATGGGTTTCTCGCCGCACTATGGCAAGCCGCTTTCACCATTGTCGGCCCTGAATACCTGGCCACCGTTGCTGGCGAAGCGCAGCGGCCGCGATCAACCATGAAAGCAGCCTTCAAATCCGTGTACTGGCGATTCGGGCTCTTTTTCATTGGCGGCGCGTTGTGTGTTGGCATTATCTTGCCGGCCAACGATCCGACGCTCCTGAGTGTCCTGAGCTCGGGCGAGACGGGCACCGGAGCCGCCTCACCTTTCGTCATTGCCATGAAGAACATGAACGTTGGGGTGCTACCTCATTTAGTCAACGCTCTACTGTTGACGAGTATCTATTCGGCCGGCAACGCCTACGTATACTGCTCTTCTCGCAGTCTTTATGGGTTAGCATTGAATGGCCACGCTCCGAAGTTTCTTACAAAATGCACTAAGCAAGGTGTTCCCATCTACTGCCTGTTTGTTGCACTCGCCTTTGCTTGTCTCTCATTTCTAAAGTTAGGCAGTGGCTCCATGAAGGTTTTGACTTAGTAAGTTGATGATCCATCTTCACTGCGGCCTGTTCCAATGACAACGTGCTGGATGCACTAATATGAGTTGACCTTCAAAGGCTCACAAATCTCATCACTGGCGGGACTCTGGTGACCTACATCGTCATTTGCATCAACTATCTCTTCTTCTACCGAGCTTTGAAAGCCCAGAACTTCAACAGATCCGATCTCCCCTACCGCGGATATCTCCAGCCTTACGGCACTTGGGTTGCTTTGGTCTGGCTTATGGCGGTGGAGATCTTCTATGGGTATGCCATCTTCTTACGGGGCCGGTGGGATATTGGCATCTTCTTCAGCAATTACACCATGGGCTTTCTCGCGATCTGTCTGTTCTGCGGCTGGAAGATCCTCAAGCGCACTCAGTTCGTCAGGCCCGAGCACGCCGATCTGGTTTGGATCCGCCCGGCAGTCGATGAACACGAGGCGGCGATGGCGGGTAACGAGAATGAGGTCGGGCTCCGCAGACGCCTAGCGCAATTGGTGAGGGTCGACATGAAACTCAGTCGGGCGTCCCGGAGTCCTCGGGTTTAGTTTACAACCTTTTGTTTATGAATACAGTACTGTGTACATATCGGGTTGCAACGCTGTTCTTGACACAATTCCGAGGTGTTAAGGTCCGGAAATCGGACTCGCACTCGCACGATTGAATCGTTCATAGCTACACTGCGCTCTTGGTAATTGTTGAATGCAAATACCTCACAGGCAAGCATTGTATCGAGCACTGCATGCCGATGACTGCGGTGGCTTCCAATTGCCACTGCTTCGGCTGGTCCCTACGTAAACAACATCGGATAATACCTTTCAAGGCCTCTGACGCCATTGCTCTCCAGCCACTGTGCGGGGAAGGGGTCCCGGGGCGGCAGCAGGGTCCTATCATCTTGAGATGCAGGGCAAAGAGCTCATCGTGGCGCTGTTAAGGGGGCCCTGACAGACAATCAGGGGCTTTGTGGCGGGCCTCGTTTGGCTCCTGATGGTCCCATTGTGCATCCCTCTGGGTCTGTTTGGCCTGGTTCAGAAGCTTTTAGAAACATCAGAACAAGCTACGTGGCAAGGGCCCGAGAGTGCCCAGACTTTAACGTGTTCGTTTACATACCAAGAGCCGTGCCGACTCCCGGGGCTGTGTCTGCGCGGTGGGCCGTGAACCTTGACGCGGTGTTCCCGATTGGATCGACAGAGAGGATACGCGCGGACATCCTGAGTCGAGACTTTCATAAGCCTCACCCCACCATGGCGGCGGTGTAAATATTCTTAGGTACGGAGATCCGTACATGTATCACAAGCTTCGTTGATCCATTATTGGAGGCTCAAGGAAGTTTATATAACCTTCGCTTCCCCGCATCTTAGCTCTCGATCTCGTAGCATCTGATTCTGAGACATCTCTGATCATCAACATAATACCCAAGTTCGAATTGTATTTTTTGTAACAAAACCAATCATCATGAGTTACTACGGCAACAACGGTGGACACCAGCAGGGTGGATACCAGCAAGGTGGCTACCAGCAAGGAGGAGGCTTCCAGCAGCAGGGAGGTCATCACCAGGGCGGCTACCAACAAGACCGTCCTCCTTCTGGTGAGGCCGGCTCATACTATGGCCAAGGTCAGCAAGGTCAGCAGCAGTTTGGCACGCAACATGGATACGGCCAAGAAGGATACGGACAACAGCAAGGAGGCTACGGCCAATCTCAACACCAATCGGGACCCCCTCCCTACCAGAACCAGGGCAACTACGGCAACCAGGGCTACCGCAATGACGGCCCGCCGGGATCCAACGGCCCGGAGGGCGAGGATGGCGAGCGTGGCCTGACCGGTGCTCTCGCTGGTGGTGCCGCCGGCGCTTTCGGCGGTCACAAGGTTGGCGGTAACTTCGGCCACAGTAAGACCAGCACTTTCATCGGTGCTGTTGCGGGAGCTTTCGCCGGACACAAGCTACAAGATGGTGTGTCCGACTGGAAGGACAAGCGGGACGAGGAGAAGAAGCACGAGCACGACCAAAAGCATGACCACGATCGCCCTCACTCTCCTCCCAAGGACCATCACCACGGCCACCACGACGATCGCCATGGTGACGACAAGCCTCGCAGTGGAAACTACGGCGGTGGCTTCACCGGCTCATCTAGAGACATTCGTCTCGACGCCCACGGAGAGTACAACCTCCATGCCTCCTGCAAACGCCGTGATGGCGAGTGGCAGAGCAGCACCATCAGCTTGAACAGAATTCTCGAGAACGACCACGGCAGCTTCCGTTGGTCCTCTGGCGGTGGCGGTGGCGGTGACTCTTCCGTGACCGTCCAGCAGGGCGACACTCTCCGCAACATTGCCGCGAGATTCAACGTGGGATTCGAGGAGATTGCGAGACACAACAACATCCCCAACCCGGACCAGATCTGGCCCGGTCAGGTCCTTCAGATCCCCGGCCGCGGTGGAAACTCCGGCGGCAACTTCGGCGCCTCGGCGCGGGATGCCCGTCTGGTTCAGGGCGGCCAGGTTCTCGAGGCCGAGCTGTCCCGCAACGGCCAGTGGGTGCGCAGCTCTGTCAACTTGGATGAGAGGATAGGAAACAACAACGGAACCCTGCACCTTGTTTGAGGGACTGCAATGGAACGAGCATAAAAGCGGATTGAAAATTTATTCTAGCGATACACAAAATTGAGATTGTGACCGGATGGTCATGAGTGGCATTGTAACCACGTCAAAATCTTTGGCTTTCTTTCATGTTGACTCGCAGCGTGCAGTCCATTTGACAGTCAAACTCATACTAAACTTGTCACAACCGACTATAAACGCGTGCTAATGCCGCCGGTCACGATCATCTTGATCGTCAAGTAGTCTTCGAGTCCATATTTGCTACCTTCTCGGCCAAAGCCGGAATGTTTGACGCCTCCGAACCTGGTGAGTGTTAGATTTCAGGTGGAAAATGACGCGGATGGCAGTTACTTACGGCGCAGAAGCATCCGAGATGACACCGGTGTTGATGGCAACCATCCCAAACTCCAGGAGCTCTGATACTCTGGTTGACCTAGCTAGGTCGTTCGTGATTACATATGATGCCAGTCCGACTTCGGACTTGTTGGCCCTCTCAATGACCTCTTTTTCAGTTGAAAACTTCGTTAGAGCCGCAAGAGGACCAAACGTCTCTTCTTGTGTCACTTTCATCGAGTCGTCGACGTCTCCGAGGATGGTGAGCTCATAAAAGTTCTTGCCGGCTGATGGTAATCGGTTGCCGCCTAGCAAGATCTTTGCGTTCTTGGCGACGGCGTCCTTGATATGCTCCTCAACCTTGCCAACGCCGTTGGTCAAGGGTCCGTGGGTGACCAACGCGTCTGTGCCGTTGCCAACTCGGAACTTTCTGACTTCCTCCACCAGCCTCTGACTAAACCTGTCATAAATGCCCTCCTGCACGAAAATCCGATTGGCGCACACGCACGTTTGGCCAGTGACCTTGAACTTGGATACAAGAACGCTGGAAATTGCGATGTCCATGTCTGCATCATCAAACACGATGAAGGGCGCGTTGCCTCCTAGCTCAAGGCTCAATTTCTTAAGGGTGTTGCTTGACTGCTGCATCAACAACTTGCCAACTCTTGTCGAGCCCGTGAAAGATATCTTCTTCACGACGTCTGACTCACATAGAGCAAGCCCAAGATGAGGTGTGTTTTCTAGGGCAGTGACAACGTTGAAGACTCCAGGAGGTACGCCAGCCCTCTCGCAAAGCACAGCTAGCGCGTTTGAAGAGAACGGTGTAAGTCCATCAGACTTCATGACAACAGTGCACCCAGCTGCAAGAGCTGCTGATACCTTGCGAGCGCCCATCGCTAGAGGAAAATTCCAAGGCACGATCAAGCCACAGACGCCGACAGGTTCTTTGATGACCCGGGTCCTGTAAGTCGGGTTGCTGTGGGGAATGACGTCTCCGTAGATCCGAGCGGCCTCTTCGCCGTACCACTCGAAGAAGCTTGCCCCAAACATCACCTCGCCCTCAGCATCCGCTTTTGCTTTGCCATTCTCGGCGGTGATGATCTTGCCGAGATCTGCTTGGTTGTCAACTAAGAGGTCGAAGATGCGCCCGATGATACGGCTTCGTTGACGGCCGGATAATGCTTTCCATTCAGGGAATGCCTTGGCTGCGGCATCAATGGCATTGTTGAGGTCGCCGATGGTTGACTCAGGACATGTGCCGATGAGCTCCTCTGTTGCCGGGTTGGTGACCTGGAAGGTTTTACCAGAATCTGACGACGTCCATTGACCGTTGATGTACGACTTCTCGACAAAGAGGCTAGGGTCTTTCAAAGAGGATGCGAAGGAAGACATTGTGAGGGAATATCAGACAGGAAGTCAATGCGCGAGGTGATAACGATTGATGCTCAAGGACCTGTGTAAGATGAAGCGATCTCCTATTCGCGGCATTTCGCCCAGGTGGTTGACAGGATTCATCTTTATCGTCTCATGGCACCGGTAGTCGTTCATCTGTGCCACGTCCCACATACTGTCTTGATAGGGAAACTGAAATGAGAGCCGGACACCCAAGCGCGTCTTCGGTGCGGGGTTCGGAGGGACAAGCAGGTCTCGGGACTAATGACCGCAAGCGGGGGCGCGGGTGACAGGGATCGGGTGCGATCTCGGATCGGCTTCTTTGTGAACATCACACTCAATGATGAAAAGCCGAGATGGTTGCATGTCAGATATCGCGGAATTTCTTACTCGAAAAGATTAGAATCACAACAATGAAACGAGGCACACGTGAACGCATGCATTGCTTGGCCCTGGATGAGATATCGACAATCTTTTTTGGCTCGGAGGCACTGTCAGGCGGCCTGATGCCCAACAAACTCGAGGTGGCACACACACCGTCGGCGATGGCTGTGCTAACGTTGTGCCTGTGAAACATGAGCTGTGCATCACACCTCTGAGTTCTTAATTATATCAAGAGGCCTTCGTTATGGTGAGAAGAGAATATCGTAGCTATCAAGACATATCGAAACATTTGTGTTGCCACAATTACTCTACTTACGAGAACTCATAAACCCCGACCCATCAACTGTAAACACAGCTATGGCTGATATCGCGTTCGCAACTCCATCCCCTTTGGCAAAGCTCAGCTTCACGCCCATCATCAAGGACAACCTGAATCCAGCTACCCCAGCCAAACCCGAAACATTCAACCCGGACAAGCATCTTGCATTCGTCAACGATCCCAAGAAGTTGTCTCTCAAAGATGTTTCTCTGCCGGAGGATATTGGAATCTCTCAAGTGGCCTGCTCGGAGCCGTTCCCTCTCTTTACTGAAGAGGCCATCCAGTACATGAGACGAGAGATCTTCGCGACCGAGGTCTGGGAGAACTGCCTTCATAGCACCAGGTTCGCGCCCTGTCAGTTGCGTGGCCACTGCCCAAAGTATGTTATTCACCATTGAGACGAGTCAAAAGTTATCGCAGAGCTCACATAGGAGGCAGGTACGCGCCGTTCATGAACCAAGCCTGGAACGATCCGAAGACTTTGGCTGTCATTTCCCAAGTCGCTGGGGTGGATCTCATCCCCAACATCCAGTACGAAGTTGGCAACATCAACATCTCCGTACAGAGCAAGACCGGCGACCAGGAAAAGACCCAGAGAAATGCTAGCAACAACACCTCCGTCACAAAATGGCATTATGATGCTTTTCCTTTTGTGTGTGTTGTCATGATGAGTGATGCGACGAACATGGTAGGTGGGGAGACAGCTATCAAGACGGGAACGGGCGAAATTCTCAAGGTCAGGGGCCCGCAGATGGTATGTGCAATCCTTCCATATGCAGCTGATTTGATTATTTGATGTGTTGACTTCTAGTAGGGATCTGCAGTCATTCTTCAAGGCAGATATGTCGAACATCAAGCTCTTGCAGCCATCGGAGGCGCGGAGCGTATCACGATGATCACATCTTTTCGCCCCCGAGACCCATGCATCAAGGACGACTCGGTCCTGACATCTATCCGACCAATATCTGAGCACTCTGAATTGTACTATCAATGGGCAAAGTATAGGATCGAGGTGCTGCAGGAACGACTGAAAGCAATACACGGGACCCTAGAAGAGATTCATCAAGCGAAGAAGCCGATCGATGTCGGAGCTGTGAAGCGACTCTTGGCTCAGCAGGAAGATTACATTGCTATCACTAACCGAGAAATTGTGGAGGTTCGGGAGCCGCACCTTGACTGGGACGGCAAATGATTCATATGCGTGACTTGCATATGTGCTCTAGCGGAGCAGTTGGCGACAACAGCAACCAGTCTCCGCAGCACCATGTAGAATAGCCATGCTTGAATCAGTGATCTCACATGAAGACTGTGGTGGAAGATAGGTGCGCATGCTAAGGGAGACAAGACGTTTCGAAATGTTGAGAAGAGCTTGTATATCATACTTTTGGTTCTTGAATCTAAACATTTGATGCGCATTGTCTATAGTCTATGCTTCTATGAACCCACTATGAAAGACTTCCCTACTCATTTACTATCTTTTGAGTAAGGTAGATACAGACACCTAAGAAAATAGGGAAAATGAGGCAAGACCGCCGACTATTAGTAGTGGCAAGTCGTCGATGACCGCACATATCGTAATCGCGTGTGCCAATGGAGCAACGTGTTCCACCTTGGTATTGTGGAGTAACGATGTGTTTTATCCCATCGACTGCTGCAAGGCGACAGTACATCCGAGTGCGGGGGAAGAACTAATCAGGCGCTATTCCGATTTATTCCCACTATATCCGCAAATCAAAAAATTCATATCTCGGAGAATTTGGAGAAAAGCTGGAGACCATTGTACTGTCGCCTTGCAGCAGTCGATGGGATATAGAGCAGGCCATTCACATGTCCAGCCAAAGAAAACATGAACAACGGTATGTGCTCGACGGATCCATGTTTCCACTTTCGAAGAGTATTTACCATTTTGTACAAAGCGATCCCGTTTCACATCACGTGTATTCTCAGAGCATGAAATTGATATGTTGTGCCCTACGTCGCTCAACTTCTTCCGTGTCCTGATTACTGGAAGAACCTATGCATCGGTCCTAACAAGTCACTCGACGTATATGAGATACCTTAGTATGAGGTTTCCACGCCAGGTGTCAAATCCAAGGAAACCTTTAGTTCCAGGCCTAAGCTGGCTGCGCCTTGCACACCAAAGCTCCCGTTATACAAAATGATTGTTCGTATATTAAGAGAGAAATTCGAGGAGCCCCCGACAATCTAGTATCGGTCCAGTTATACTACGCCGCCTTCAGGTGCCTGGTAGTCCCGTGGTTGTACTTCGTGTTCCCAATAAGATGTTCTCAGCCGACGTACGAAGCGCCTCGTTGCCTGTGGCTTGTTGCGCTCTGTGGTTTGATGAGAAGGTTTGGGAAGGGGAAGGTAGACATTGAGTGGGTCTAGAGTGAGAACGTTTGGGTACTCTTTTAACCATTGTGCGACACGACTTGGTCGACTCGAAGGCCTGAGGTAGGACAGCTGAGCATCGGAGGGTCCTGTGGTGATGAGCTGTGGATCAGGTTGCCTCAAGTCCAAGACATTTGGTGAATGAAAGGTCCCTAGTTCGATTCCATCCTCTGTAGAAAATTTGGGATCTGAAGACTTGGTCACTGGCAGTCGAAGTATACCTTTCAAAGCCCAAAGTCCATCCTTGAGATTCTTCTTGAGAAGCAATCCCCCGGCATGTATGCGTTTGAAGATGGTTGGTAGTCCGAGTTCAACCCCTACTATGAACAGCAACATTATCACCATGATACCGATCGTCGTTCCTAAAAGTACGGGCCAAGTGCGTTGTAGATGACCCATATCAGAGCCAATGATCGAGAAACTCAGTGACAGTGGCATGAATAGCTACAAAAGAGCATCAGATAAGTAAGATGTCTCACCAACACACAGATGGAGAGGACTTACCAGGCCCATCATTGTAATGAATTTAAGGAGCCTATCCCTAGGGACGGTAGGTTCATATGCTTTCGTCGCTGAAGTCTGATAGGCCTGTCAGAAAGCGTTAGTAAAGTAACTGTGTCAATGGAAATGCCGCAATAAATTTACCAGGGAGTACTGAGAGTTTCTGCTTATACATAGGTCCTTCATCTTTCGTAAGGAAGTCTCGGATTGCTTGACGCTCTCAAGTGACTTTAACATATCACGACGGCAAGCATCGTGCGAGAACGATTTTCGGTTCTGCAAGTCGTCGAAATATGACTCCAAGGCGTCTTCTTGAAATTTGTCCCACTCTGCCAGGGTTCCTGCGATAGTGTAGATGAGATGCATGATCAGAACTTGACTGCGTCTTAAGCGGTCCTGAGCCTCGAGGATGTCATTCTTCAACACAAGGTTTTGGGTACCTTTGACTGGCCCATAAGACATCTATGGGCACCATTAATGAGGTGAATTTCAAACCGGGAGATGAATTTACCTGATGCCTTATTGTTGTTTCGAGAAATCGTACGGTGTGATCCCACTCCCGAGCCAAGTGTTTGAGGCGAACTCGCAGAACCGCAAGAAAGTATTCTCTTGGATCCCAAGGCATCCCAACCGGTAGCTTGCCACAGGACACTGGGTCCGTCAGTAGCTCTTCGTCAGAGTCGTCGATACGTGGTATAGAATCTTCTTGGTCTTCGGAAGGAGAATGTACAAAGCAAAAGGCCGTCCATCGATTCTCGTCGAATCCCGTGACCAAGAGTGAAACTTGGCTTTGGTGTAGGAATTGAGAGATACCACTTGTCGAAGATCCATGTTTGACCGGAAAGAGAAACGAAACATCAGTCGACTGGTGGGCCTCTTCAATAGGGCTGCCCGAACATTGAGCCTTTCCCGCGTAAGATCTCAGGGCGACCATGGGAATGTGGAACTCTAGGTCGAACGTTTGCAAAGCTGATGACTTTTCCTCTGTCAGTAACCAATTTGCCACGACAGATGGTTTTCCCTTTCACTTACGCGTAGCGTGACGCCAAAATGGGGACGAAACATCATATGTCTGTAAATGACATTTCCTAACCCATCTCGCTCTGTCCTTGAACATGTGGTCGCAAGGCACAATACTGAGGAAGGGTCAAGGTTCTGCACAAATCTATGTGGGCATTAGCAAGTTGAGAAGATGGGCGAATTGTCGTACCAGAACGTACATTATTCGTCTGTCGGCATCAACATAACCACGTTCACCAAATCGCTAGCGAGAGATGAGCATTTGGAACAGTCGGCAAATACAAAGCATTGCAGATGTGAGATGAGTAGCGCACCTTGAGCTTCAATTGTTTGAATAGTTCTCCGGCTGTGAGAGCTCCCGGGGTAGATCGGTTTCCAAGGCTATGATGTTCTCGCTGATCCAGCCATATCGTCGAAACTTTGGACACTTTGGACACATCCCTCTCCAGGGATTCCAGTGTTGCTGTTCGACAAAAGTTCCGAAGCGCTTCGATCTTTCGAGAATATGTGGACGCACTGGATTCGAAGAATATCGACCACAGATCCTCAGCACCGATATTTTGCAGGTCGTCTAGCAGCCTGTCGTTGAACCAAGTGGCTAGCACTGATCTCTCGGGGCCGACAAAATATGGCCAGCGAGATCTAAATGAGTTGTGACCAAATTCGATGGGACTTACGAAATATGGAGTTCGTGAGCGAGGCTGATAGGAGTCACTGCCCACCTGCGACAAGGGCGGCGTAGGTAGCAGGGCATTTTCGGTTTGAGTTGAGGCATCCCTACGGGGGAACTTGCTGGCCTTGAGTTGATCATCCAACCAGCTGTTGGATCTATCCATGCCGTATTGCACGCTTTGGGAATTATGACGTCCATGTAGTTCTGCTTGAAAGCCCCTCGAGCTCAGATCTTGAAACACTTCGGTTGCTGGCACCAGGTAACCTATACCCGTACCCGGACTGCCGCTCACAACATGACCGTAGAAGGCGCCTGATTCTTGGTCTAGCACCGCCCCTCCCGAATCGCCAAAGACGAAGTTGCTGCCGATGAGTCGCACAATTTGTAAGTGCTGGAAGGAGTTCAGACCGGTTCTTTTGAACAGAGTCGTTCCTGGTGGGAGGTCTCCGGTACGAATAGATCCACCATCCCCAACTATAAGTATCTTCTTCTCTCCTGGCGGAGATAAGTCGCTTCTACAGACGTAGAGGGATCTCGTTGCGTTCCCAATCGGAACAGTGAACCCATTGACGGAATCGCATGGCTTTGGGGGTGGTGTGTGTATAAGGGCGTAATCGAGCCCTGGGGACGAGCCTTGGCTGGCGCGAATACTAATCACTCCGACACTTTTTGTAGCTTCGAGGTGCTGGATATCGTCGATAGCATTCCGAGTTCGATACCCTGAGTTACGCGATGGTTCAGCATCAGATCCAGTATCATGGTCGTCTCCGCAGGGCCAATCCTCTGCAATGGAGCTTTCGTTATCCCATGAAGAACTCTCTGATTGATTGATCGAAAATGACCTTTGCGAAAGAAAGCTCCTTTTCGGAGTGATACTCCCTTGGCTCAAGACGTCGTAGGTGAGCAAGGATTCCTCTTCTTCGTCATCCTCGCTCCCATTGATTGAGAAGGCGTCCAGATCCGTTTCTAGCGTAGAAGGAGAATCTTGATCCGCGTCTAAGTCACTTGGACCATGCTCAGCTGTGAGTTGAAGACATGCGCCATCGATATGAAGAAAAACACCACCCGTGGCCCAAAGGATAGCCTCGTTGTCGTTTGGAGGCTTGAACAGACGGCGTCCCAAGCTTAGCGACGCAGTCGGCGAAAAGACCTCATCGCCCGAAGCTACACTAGAAGGCAAGTCTGTTTCAAGCTTTTCTTCGTAACGACTACAGTTGTTGCTGGTTCCTGCCAGAGGTCGTGCTGGACGCAGTTGCTCAAGCGGGTGCGGCAGCCCATGGACGAGGAACTCGCGACAGGCTCGTAGTGTAGGATTGGCTCGTAGTTCGTTCTTCACGCGAGACCTGATGCTTTCGTTCATGCAACAGACCATGATCGTGGGCTCTGATGTTGTTTCAGCCCGGCCGATCATGTAAAGTCGAACATATATCTCGCCACGCTCAAGACCGAGGCTATTCAAGGCTGCTTGAAGATTTGGTTCTAAGTCTGTGGAATATTTTTCAAGGGCTAGTCCATTTGCGAACCATGCCTTTTTCCTCGTGAGAATCGTATTGAGTATCTCGTGACCGCAGGAGTCTTGAGGGTTTGGCCATCTCGGACGCCTGAATTGAGGCATTGTATGTCGCGAGATTGACCCTGAGGTAATGCTATGCCTGAGGGAATTTCCCAGGGAAAACGACAATGTTAGTGCTAGGTTTAAGAGCAGAAATACGGTGCCATTTCCCCTCCGGTAACGACTTCGCGGACATGGCGGACGATATAGGGCAACTTTGCTAAAGGCGTGCCCTGCAAAACGAGGCGGCGTGGCTTTCAGCGGCCAGTGATTGACGAATCAGCCAAGCGGAATTCGAGGACGCATGCCGTGTCACCCTATCATCACATCCGACTTTCGGGGCAATTCAGCCACAAATTTGTGACCTATGAATTTAACCAATGGGAACATTTTATTAGACAATATCTAGCAGGAATTTCCATCTTTCTCTGCACCATTTGTGTAACTGAGCGGTTTATTTGACGCAAGGGAGGGAGGAACAGGGGATAATCATAGGTTGCTCAGAAGTGTAAAAACGCTAGAGGATGTGCATCCATCATAGGAGGACTGCCGCCTTGATTTTGGGAATTGGGGCGACAGCCTGATATTATTGTCTTAGACAATGTATACAAAGGTATTCGCGCATGTTTTCGTTTAGTCAAGTTTTGTTCTAACTCCTTTACCTTCTAATCTCAACCCGACATATAGCACGGTTGTCAAATGACAGAGTTTGGAGAAGCCGACTTCAAAGACCTCGCTGAGACTCTTTGTAGTCTACCGAAACCTACCGATGTTGCTCGCTATGGACGACTGGCAACCACCATACCTTGTAGCCAGTCTGCTTACCTTGGATACTGCTATCGCCAATGGGGCGTGATAGCCGGGTACCATAACGGTCTCTACATGGCTCTCAAGGAAACCGAAAAGTTCAAGGCTTTCATTCTCTACTTGTCAACTGCGAGTTCGATCACGAAAGCCGATGTTTCCGCCTATTTCTGCGATAAAGACGGGGAGCGGCCAAACTCTGAAGCGCAAGAGTCTACCATCAACCTCGCGCTACGCCTTTTGCTCATGCTCAAATTTGGACCGGTTCAGGGCGAGGCATTTCCACATCATCACCTGATATGGGATGCTGGCTGTTTGAGAGAATGTATAGCGAGATACCTGGATGAAGGGCCCCGCCTAGACGTGAAGGGCGTCCGCTTGCCTAAGACATTCCACGCTTGGAGTGTGGTAGCAATTGGAGGTATCCAAGTTGAATTTACGGATAACTTGGCAGACCATCTTCTACTTATTGAGGAAGAGTCTGGAATTAAAGTGTTGATTTTTCATCACGTTTCTTTCCTTCGATGTCATCAAAGGCAAGTAGAATGACGGGTATTCGAGAACATTTATCCGATGACTTGGCACTGATACGATCATCACCCAGCTCAATCTACCCGGTTGGGTTTCTCGAAGAGACCCTAGAGACGCTGCAGCTACTCTTTCCTGAATCAGAGTTTGGCGGCACAGGTATATCCAAACGCCGACGCTGGTCTTGGTATCAGAAGCTGCTATCCAAACAGCCATGCCCTCCTATCGACTGGGGGCTTGGATCCATCGGAACACTATCTGCTGAAGCCCGAAGGATCGAGAGATTTAGCTTCTGGAGAAATCGTCTTATCGTCCTCAAGCAAGCATATGATGATGCTACTCCTCGCACTATATCTCAATGGTGGCATGACCGTCGGAACAGGGTTGTTTGGTGCACGTTCTGGTTGGCAATCTTGGTCCTGGTACTCGGTGCGTTGGTAGGCGTGGTTCAATGTGTTCAAGGCGGCTTACAAGTTTCGAAATCATGAACCGGGCACTCAAACGTCGGAGACATGCACATAATGGTCGAAGGAGACAACACGTGGCAAGAGATAGTAACAGTTCAATGTACATTGGTAATAATGCACCCCTTCGTTTTGGCTCATGCCTGCGTTCCTTTCTCTTCGGCAATGTTTCTCATTTCAGGATTCAAGTCCAGGATAGCATTCAAGTTCATGCTACACCTGAGGTCCTTTAATGAATCGATTGGACTGTGGTTACATCCAAAACCATTCCACTTAACCCATAAGTTAAGATGCGGTGGTTGATGAGATGTTCTTGACGGGATAGATGGGCGAACCAGGCACGAGAGTGCATCCAAGCATCGCTTGTGCCCCAGCGACGATCCCGCCAATCCACAAGTCTTAAGACTGCGTTCTAGAACTTCTGAGTCAACAGACCCAGCTCCAGAATGACGTTGAAAGGGAAACCGAGGCATCGGACGACTCGACTCAAGACTTCTCAGCAACCTTTACTCAGCAAGAACCCCAAAAAGGGACCAATCCAACACATAGCAGCTGAAGAAGATCCAAGAACAGACGATAGCCAAGGCACCAAGCCGATTCGGCCAACTTGGCACACCAAATGCGGCGCCAAACCATGCCGGCCATCCGGCGCCGAAGACCAACGGCGCCCCAATTGGTCACTCCACGAAGACGCTCGGGTCCGCACCAATGTATCGGAATGTGGGGGTACCTCGGGATTCTTCAACTGGGCCCTTCGGCGTGGCTCGGCGTTGGTCGAGGTCCAGCAGCAACGGCACAAGGCATTGTGGCTCAGCACCCAAAAGCCACAATCACGTTGTCTGGGATGGACCTTGACTCTTCTCAGGCTTCGCCTTCGGCCGCTCGAGCCGTTTAGCGACTTGGGGGAGCTGGTTGCGGCGTTCTCAGTGACGTGGGACTGGGTTTTTCGCTTTCTTCCGTGCGGAGACCGATTGCGCGGCCCCTCATGACATGGTGACATGAGCCAAGTTGCTTCCATTATCCTAGTGTAGGCTGGGGGCATTGGCAACTTAGCGTTCTCCGGTCGGGACGAAATGACGCACGAAGGGTCTGGCAGCACTATGCTGGGCAGATGAACGCATCAAGCAGGCGATCTATAAAGTGGAATGATTCTCCCCTTCACCATGACTGATTGTCCTATTCATCATAACAACAAACCACAATTACAAGAATATTTGAGCCTCTCATTGAGAACCAAATCCAAACTCAAAAACTTCCAACCAACATTCAACCTACCAGTTGACATTACAACTACCAACTACTACGAAGTCGCACAATCAAATTACCTGCGGCAGACCTAAAGTCAACGAAATCTTCACAACCTGCAAGCTCAACTACCTTCAGCCTATCTTTACAAACAACACAAGATGTGCTTCGGCCTGTCGAGACGCAGAGGATACGGAGGTGGCTACGGCGGTCCTGGCTACGGCCCCCGCCCAGTTATCGTACAGACCCACCACCACGGCCATCACGGCGGCGGCATGATGGGTGGACCTAGACCATGCGGCCCCCGACCCGGCTTCGGCGGCGGCGGCTTTGGCGGACCCGGCAGACATGGATACGGCGGCGGCAGGGGTGGAGGATGGGGAGGCCGCGGTGGTCGCTGGTAGACTCGGGGGTGACTTATGACGATTTTTACGGAATGATTTGCATGCATTAGAATTGTATACCACGGCGGGAACATGATTTCAAGGGCACAGGCGTTTCAAAGCTTCAAAGCTTCAAAGTTTCAACAATCAGATTAGTAATCGACATACATCAAAGACACACTATCTTACGTCATTGCACAAAACCACATGAGTGTCTGATCAGTTCGCACTCGCACGGGATGGCTGTTTGCCTCTCTTGAAAATGCTGAAGATTAGATTATTCCGACGGGCCGTTGGTAACTTGCGCAGTCAGAATACATTGCCATGCCTTTTCGTGTGTCTCAAGGCCAAGGTGCACTGTCGCTATCGAGACCACACTCAAAATTTACCTCCTTAAGCAGACGATGGTGATGTGTTGTGAAAGGATTCAAGGGAGAATTTGAAGAGCCAGAGAAAGCTACGGTACTTAGAGCCAAACCACATGCCTCACCGCGTACACACCGTTTTCGAATGCCCACTCTATCGCTGCTATCACTTGTCGTGCTATGCTGTAGCACGAGGAAAGGACTCGAGGCCAAAGTGAGAATTGTCAGTACTGTGGACGACACCGCATGAACAAAAAACCATGAGGCATCCCTTTCGTTTCTCAACATCCCAACCTTTGGAAGTGCGAGGAGCTAATCCCTGCTCTCGGAATCTAGATCCCGTTCAGTCGTCGCAATCTCTACTTCTCTACAGCATCATTTGTGGTAGAGATGCGGGGAAGTCCTACCACCCAACTCTACATTTCATACTAGAAGCAAAGGCTTCAGCCAGAAAGCAGCATTTAATCTCTAGAATAGTGCCTTAGGTACCTTTAGTCTCTGGTATCCGACGGGCCGCCGGTCGAACTTTTGCACATATTACAGGGCTGCCCCATGAGAACATCCTTCGGGCGTTACCCCAAAGTCGCCCAAGACGGAACTGCAATTGGTGTATCAGATGGTCTGGATACTGCACGGCCGAAGTAACCTGGCCTCGGCATCCGAGGGGGAAAGCTTGGGCGGACGATATACTTAAGCTCCACCGCCCTGAACACCTCACAGCTCGACATGTTGATAACTAAGGCCCGCAAACAATAGTGACTCGTGAAAACACGCCGCTATGGAAAACATTTTATCTACACTGAGCGCCACACTGGGCACCGGAATTGGCTTATCCTGCGCCCTGGCGGCGGGAGCTGGTCTCCTAGCACACTGGGGCTACTATATCCGCGGGCACAGAAGCATGGAGGTGTTCAATATCTTGGTCATCCACGGCGTCGCACTGATGCTTCTCTTCATCAAGTCCGTCACAAGTCTGGGATTCGCAACGGGTACAACGGCGCATCTTGCAATATCCAGCTCTTACTTTGCAGGCCTATTTACCAGTATCGTGGTATACCGCCTAATATTCCACTCTCTGCGCCGGTTCCCCGGTCCTTTTCCGGCCAGAATTATGAAGCCCTACATCATGTGGCTCAACAGAGATTGGAAATTGCATGAAAAATATCTCGAGATGCACGAGAAGCACGGAGATTTCGTGCGCGTTGGTGAGGACCTAATAACTCGAGCGAGCGCTGGTGATAATGGAGGCTGAGTACCAGCTAACAAGACCCCAGGCCCCAACGACATCTCAGTCGTCAACCTAGACGCTATCACCAAGATCCACGGACCACAGACAAAGTGCACCAAGCGAAATACCGGATTCTACGACGCCTTGAGGACAAAGGGCGAGTTGAACTTGGATTCTCTTTCGCACAACGAGGTGCACCGCGACAGGCGTAAAGTCTGGGACCAAGCTTTAGGAAGCAAAGGTGACGCCGCATCCCCTCTCATTCCACTAGGCCTCAAATCTTCACAGAGTTTGTACAAGTACAGGTTGGATATGCTAATCCTCTTCCAGCTCTCGAAAAATACGAAGAAGAAACCCGTACCGTCCTCCGGACCTGGCTATCTCGCCTCGAAGAAGTCCAAGGAAAGCCCATCAACGCCTCGCACTACGCGAAACTCATCCCCTTTGACAACATGGGCCGCGTAGGCTACGGCCGAGACTTCGGCACCGTCCGAGACGGCAGAGAAGATAGGATGCTTGACCTCATCGAGACCACGTTCAAGCTGGGCGCTCGACTGGGACAGACGCCTTGGCCGCTCGTGTTTCTGGCGAAGTTGCCGCGGATGGGCATGCAAAAGGAGTTTGAGGATTTGGGGGTCCGACTTGTGGATGAGAGAATTGCCGTAAGTTAAGACCTGCTTAGAGGTGTTATGGTGAAGTATAGCTGATGATTGAATAGGTTGATTCTGATGAATCTCACGATATGTTGAAGTACTTCCTCGACGACTATAAGTCTGAGAAACCAAAGTCTTTCTTCAATGTCAATATCATGTATTCCGACTCTCAAGCCATCCTCATCGGAGCGACGTACGTATATATGGGGACTCTTGTTTGGAGAAATACACATGCTCACTAAAGGCCAGAGACACAATATCCTGCACTTTGGGGTACGCCTTCTATTACATCGCCCGCGACGCCGGACTCCGTCAGCGTCTTTACGAAGAGATTGCGCCTATGCACTCCAAGACTTTGGAAGGGGAATTCGCTGTGACGGACCTCAACAAGCTTGATCTGCTTGAAGCTGTCATCACCGAGACCCTTCGCATGTATGCGCCCGCGCCGATCAATGGGCCCAGAATGGCTCCGTCGGAGGGTGTGACGATTGATGGGACCTACATCCCTGGAGACGTGACTTTATGTACGCCAATCCACTGCTATCATCGAAGTAAGTCCAGAAACTCGCGTGGGATGTACAAACTTTGATCGCTGATAATCACGATAGGCCACAAGTACTGGAGGTCCCCTAATGAGTTCATACCCGAGCGCTGGACGACTCGCCCAGAGTTGGTCATTGACCGGAGGGCTTTCTTGCCTTTTAGCTACGGTAAGGATATGTCGCGTAAAGCATAGGAAGAATGGAACAGCTCACAATCTGGTGTTCAGGTCGGTATGACTGTGTAGGAAGGCGTCTGGCTTGGAACGTTCTGCGGCTAACCATTGCCTATACTCTCTGGAACTATGACTTTGAATTTGCCCCTGGAGAAGACGGCGAGACGTTTGAGGAAGAAGCCAAGTTCCAGCTAATTATTAAGCCCGCAAAGTTGGATTGTGTTTTTACGAAGAGGCCCGAGACTCGGTTGTGAGGCTATGGAAGAGACGAGCCAAGGCTGTGCTTGCTCTTGACGAGTCTTTGTTCATAGTGAGGGAGGTCAGGAAGACAGCAAGGAGGGTCCGAAGGAGACACAAACGACAAGGTTATTCAGTGGCCCGATTTGCTTTTCTTAATGAAATCCATTGTACTCATCGTGACCATTATCTTCGTAGCTCATGTGAAGTCGTGTGACAAATGAGACCTCCCTTCTAGGAGCTCCCAATCACTGCCCGCTTCCCATTAGGTAAGGTAGTCCACGGTACCAAAAGATCAGTGCCCTCCCCTCATACCACAAACCACCCTCACAACCGCCCAGAACCTTCGAAACTGCCTCTAAATCAGGGCCAGAGCAAAGGAAATTTCCTCTACTCTGCCGCCTGGGTGGGCCACGCTGGTCTTGCACATCTCCGACTGAGGAATCAGCGGGCCGTTATAGTCCGTCGGATGATGGCGAGCGTGGCACATGGCATGTGTACGGTAAGAATCAAGGTTCCTTTTAGCCTTCTAAGCCGGTCCCATCATCTGCTCATTAGGCCTGTCCCGATTATGTGTGACGCCCCATTCCGGACCCCATCGCTTCGCGACCCAATCAAGGTCTCTATCGTGAAAGTCCGCCGGGATATAGACCCATTTCTCTTCGTCTTTGAGCCAGGTTCTGGCGGGCATGTACGCCTCGAGCATGTAATAGTTATCCCGCGAGTAGGGGAGATCGATGGTGGGCGGGCCGTTCCCCTCCAAGAAGGCGTCTGTGAGAGACTCCGCGTCGGCCTCGGACATCTCAAAGTGGCGACGACGGTTACCCTTGTTCGCTCTCTGCCTCTTGATCGCGGCACAGGTGTTGTTGAGATGGACCTCGAGGAGGTGAGCGTAGGCGAGCGGGGAGCGGATGGCATGGAGCACGGTTTCTGTAATTCTGTCTTTCCAGACCAAGTTCCACGAAGCGTCTTGACCCCGGCGCATGATAGTGATGGGAACCCCGGAGTCGAGATTGGGGCGCCACTTGTTGAAGTCGACAATGATGCAGCAGGCCTGCCAGCGCAAGACGCAGGTGAGGCAGGTGCATAAGACGTAGGGCTCGGGTTGAGGGATGTGGACGTATCGCCGGTGGATACCGAGCATGTCGATTCTGGCGTCATTCTTGAGGACCGGGTGAAGTTCTGGGTCGATCTCGTCGAGTGTTACTGGAAGCCTGAAGCACTTGGAAAGAACTGGGTATCGTTGAGAGATGATTTTGCGCGAGAGAAGCTTCTCGTTGTGTTGGATGAGCTTGCGGAGTGTCTTGCAGGTCTGGGCAGTCTTCAAAACCTCGCTGGGAAGCATGTTGCTGATGATGTCGACAAGAGTCTCGTTGGGAAGGTCGAGGAGTTGAGTTGTCCGGCGAGCTGAGGACTTTGCAGTCTTCTTCTCAAGTTTCCGCTTCATTCTCTCAGTCTTCTTTGAGCGTAGATTGAGCGCGCCCTTTGCTGTGACACGCTCGCTATCGGTGACTTCCTTTGTGGCTTCGGTGTGTCTTGAAAACTCGCCTTCGATCAGCTCACCGGTGCTTGTGTAGTAGGAAGTTGTGCCATCACTGTTGATGACTGTGAAAATTGAGTTGTCAACGACTGGTCCTTCTGACGTAATTGCTGCCATCGTTGGTTGTGGTGAGCTTTTCACAGCCGGAGATACTTTGGCAGGATTGACTTTCGTGAAGGCCGTATCCTTCCGCTTGTGAGAGGCTTTGGGTCCCTTCGATGAGGTTCCTGAGATTTCATCAGCTTCCTTCATCTTCGGTGAGATTCCCGTGAGCCTCAAGCCCTGGTGTCTTTCTCTTATCAAGTGATGGAGGTAAGTTGAGGGTGAGAAGCTGTGTATTCAATGCCGCCACCACCGAGTACGAAGGAAGGTGTGGGGGTTGCGTCACACCGAGCCTGCCCAATTGGATGGGTAAAAAACCCTGCGCACAGACCACATATGTACAGCTCCAAGAGGAAAGAGCAGGGGATTTCAATCCTTCCCCAGACCACTTGCAGATTTCATGCTTATGTCATCGTCAAACATCCTTCCTTCCACAAGGAGCGATGAAGATGCAACCCCTGAGGGTTTTCGTAACTCCCTGGGCGACTTCGCCGCTGAATGAGTGTCACGATATATGAGTGGAAAATGAAATGAGCGCAATGCAGAAACAAAATTTGATTCATTGCTGGAGGACCTCCATGACTATCCGTGTATCCGTGTCCATCCTGAAAGCCCCATCACTATCTGAAGAAATCCCAACCAAATTACCTGGCAAGCCATTGTCCCAACACCTCTATTGACCGAAGTCGGCAATGATACAACTGCCCAGCAGCAAATTGAAAGCGAACGCCGGGGTACCTCATTACAAATCAAACTCAAAATCCAGAACTTCTCCCTCCCAAGACAAGTGTAAGTGACTTCCAGTCCGTCCGATCCGTGCTTGTTGTTCTAAGTGACTGCCCATGAACCTCCTAATCAGCTTTATCTTCCTTGATCTCACTGGTTTGAGAAGGTAAACACTTCAAGCTCTCAGATTGAGCAAGGGTCGACACCGTATCTGAGCTCCCAAATTGGAGACATCCTGCCATCTGGAAGGGTGGCACCGGGAGGATACTCCTTGCTCAGCGCTTGACGAGCAGACTCGGACTGGTTCCGATAGCAGGCGAACCGGATTTCAAGCTCTCCCATTCCAGTCTGAGGATCTTGAACATGGGCGATGACATCCTCGGTGTCGAAATCAAGCTTCGTGCGAAAGTAACGTAGCAGAGTGTCCTTGTTGACAAAGGACAACTCGCCGGTAACGACGAGAACACGAGAGTGGTAGCCGCCGATATCTTCCTCGGCTTTCCGAACCCGGTTGCGAACAATCTTGACGGCGTAGCTACTGATGATGAGACGACGGGCCGGGTTTCTACAGTGAGCGTAGAAGCGCTGGGCCGCGGCCAGCTCGAAAAACACCAACTTGGCGGCCGAGGTGAAATGCTCGTGACCATCTGGAGGATTGATCACAGTGGCCCAGACGCGTCCCATGCCGCGAATTTGACCCAGGAGCTGGCTGTAGGTGACGTCCGCTGGGAGATTGGTCAAGAAGAAGGAAACATTCTTGCACTCCGGAATGTCATCCGAAAGGTTGCGCGGGTTCAAAGCATCGCCCTTGTAGTTAGCCGAGACACCCTGGGCCATTTTGAGATCCTTCTGGGGATCGCACTCGGGGCGGAAGAATGTTCGAGTGACGGCGTTCATTGGCCGAAACTCGCCAACTGGAGCGTAAGATTGGAAGCCCTTCTGAGCAACCGCAGGACGAGGCTCAGTATGAGCCCAGACAGACGTGGCTTGAGGAGTGAGCAACTCCCTCAGGGTATGATGGTCCCAACGACCTGTGCCGATTGGAGCTTGGCTGTTCGTGGGCTTCGTGCCATTGCGATGGGTTGACGGCATTCCAACATCTGGCTGAGGGATGAAAACTCGGTTGCGACTTGACTCGGAGCCAGACTGCCGCGGCTGTGGCTGCACCTGACCAGCCAAACTCGCACGAAAGCCGCCTGGGAAGTTGTTTTGAGCACCAGCATTCACGGGCTCTCGAACAGGCATGGCTTGGCCGCGGAAACGAGGCAAAACCCAGCCAGGGGCTCTCTCGGGAGTTCCATCTGGCGCATTGAGCTTCTGGCCTTGAGTCTTGGTGTTGGAGCCGCCGACGTTTGCAGAAGTGGAATCAGGAGAGATAGTGGTGGGTGGAGAGGAGTTGGTCTTCTCGCTGCCCTTGCCCTTATCGATTCCCGTATTCTCGCCAGCTTTATAGTCGGTGGCGTTGTAGTAGGCTGGACCTTGGCGGGCACCGGACGAGATGGAAAGCCGATCGGTGCTTGAAGACCCATGGCTGGAGGATGAGCCGACTCGGGGGTGAACGTAGGCGCTTCCAACGATGGTGCGATGGCTATCAGTCCGCATGGCATGGGTATGGGCGAGATCAATCCGGGCCATGCTTTGGAGCAAATTCGCTTCAATCGCAGGATCCATGACCAATCTGTGGTTGGAGTGCTTGCTGCCATTTTGATAGTTGGTCAGGTTCTGGTGAGCATCCCGGCCAATACCCGGGCAATAGACAGAGCTGGAAAGAATAGCTTGATCATCGTTGCCTCCAGTAGCGTTGGCATGCGTTCGAATATTGCGAGGAGCATTGACCAAAGCCTGGTAAGCAGCAGCAGTGTGCTCGGGAGATCCAGCGAGAAGATCGAAACCAGCCATCGTGAAGTGGACAAGTTAGACAGTAAACTTTCTTGATGTTAGTTGATGTAAGAAGCTGCGAGTGTGGTCACTTTGGAATTGTACAAGGAAGAAGCCTGCTCTCTGGTTGAAGAGACTTACTAGGGACCGATGTAACGAAGGTATGTGTCTTGAACAGCAAAAGTAACAGTCGTAGATTCTGCGTGCAGTTTGTTGATGACAGTTTACTCGGCAAGATGACAGTCAGTCATTTGATCCGATTGGTGACAGAGTTCAAAGACTTGATGAGCAAAGGAAGAAACAGGATGATTGTTTCAGGCGAAATATTGGTTGTCCATGAGTTGGATGAAGGAAGGAGAGGAATTGATCTGGTTCCGGGATGGAGGAGGAGTTTTTATGATGAAGAATGGGAGGAGGGGCGGTTCGAGGGCGGTTCAGGGCGGCTCGAGACATCAGGCAGGTCGAAGGAGGCAGGTATGAAGGGTGGAAGGAAGGTACAGGTCGTTGGGCGGTCGGGAGGCTATCAGGCACATGGTGTTAGTCCAAAGGGGATGGACTGCCTGGGTAAGGACCAAAGGTGAAGTTGAGATTATGAAGGATAGCAAAAAGGCTTGGAGCCTTGGATATGGAAGTCCGAATAGTGGGCTGCCTGGAGTCTAAGCCTACCTTACAGCAGAGTGAAGATGAAAGAATTACCGAGGTCAGATGACAGGTTTGAGAAGTTGTCTATCAATAAACTGAAGGCTTGGAGCTTCAAGGCATTGAGGGAAT